TCCTTAGGAGGAACAGTTGGGTTTTCTATGGTATTTGAACTAGGAGATTCTACTGCCTTAGAGGCGTCCATTTTGTTAAATAAGGGTTTAAAACTATAACAAACTGGGAAAATCGTCCTGGTGTCTTTTAATATTTCAAAAACCGTAAGAGGGCCATTTAAAGCTAACCTCTTACCAGCAACGTTGGTAGGAATGAGTACCTGTGACGCATACAACATTTATTTTTCCTTTGAAATCATCTGAGGGGCAAGAACGGATTGGCCTTGGTGGGTGATGATTTTACTTTCCATGGTAGCTCCTGCAGTTTTTCCTTTCTTCTTGGAGACTTTCTTGAGTTGGGATGAAGTAGAAGAAGACATTTTTGAAAGATGTTGAAAGCTTGGGTTTTTTGACGAGAGAAGGAGGGTAAAAGATTTAGAGTGTGAAAGGAAAAGAAAAAGATTAAGTTGGTGATGTTTTATAATGGGGAAGTTTAAGCACCCACTGAATAAGGGTGTGATACGTGGAAATCATGGGTTGGTGTGATGAAGAGGTGGCGTAAAGTTAACATGGGTAATAGGCGTGATTTAAAGATAATCATTATTTGTAAATGCACCATGCTGTGAAGTGGCTCCAGGCGGTTAAGGAATCCAAAAGGTGTTATGATTGACGTGACTGGAGTCAAATGCATTAAATGTTACGATGATTCGAAAGTCACATCAAAATCTTGTATAAGTGTTTAAAATAGGTATTTCTCAGAGGAATCGAAATACATATTTTAAAGGGGCAATTTGTTGGCTGAAGATTTTGATAATGATATTAGAAGCTAAATGAATTAAACATTTCGATCGAAATGAGGTAAAGTGTCATGTTTCGGAGTAGCAGAAGCAGTGTTTCGAATAAGCATGTCAAAGCTTGGAGCTTCGAGTAGCAATTATGGGAACATATCTAAAGAAGTCTCGAAATAACAACAAGGATGTGTCTGGGAAGAGCGTTCGAAACAGAGAAGTACCAAAGCATTTGAAATTCAAATGGAAGCGGGACTTTCGAAGTTTGAAAGTTATGTGCTGGTGCATTTGGGGACACGTGGAAAGATTAAAGAGGCATTGTCCTGCATGTTCTGAACGTGGCATAATCCTATAGCAAGACCGTTATGGTCGAATTAGTATAAATAGAAGTCTTAGTATTAGGATTTCGTGTGTCATATCTATTATACAAAATACTCAGTAACATTCAAACTACCACATGGCAAGGGAAACGAATGCAAGAGAAATGTATGTATGATAGCACCATGTATTTCTGATTTAATGAAAACCTTTTACCATTTCCAGCACTTTCCTTTATCTTTTTGTCAAATAACATTTACAAGTTTTCTCCTTTACAGTCTTTTCACTTCGAAATCTTTTCTTCAAAGTTTTACATTTTAATGCTTTTTAATGCTTTCTTTACATTTCAAGCACTTTATATTTCAGAAAACTGTCATATTTTCCATACCTTTACCTTCAAGTCTTATCCTTCGAACGCATATTTTTACTTAAAGTCATTTACAAATTTCTTACATTAAACGCTTTCTTCACATTTCAAACCTTTTACGTTCCAGAAATCTTTTACGTTAACTGTTTTATAATTCGAAACCATTTACTTGACTTTTATGCAATCTCACATGTCTTTACAATTAATATTTACTCATGCAACTTAGTTTCACACACACTTTTTGATTACATCTTTAGACTTTTAGAGAGAGAAATCGAAATAAGCCAAACACATATACAACATCAATCATGAATATCTGTTCGATCGTGAGAGTAACCTTAATATCCAAGGAGTCCTAGGATCAATCTAGTCGATCCTGTGAGTTACCAGAGGAATTGAATAACAGTAAGAAAGATTATTCGATAGTTTGGAAGATTAGCGGTTGTTTACCAGAAATCACTGGAAACAGCGAGATGGACGTTTAAGTTGTTGTTGGCAGCTTGGTCGGCCATGACAATCACGAAGTTTGATGGTTGCTTTAGTCTTAGGTAAATGAAAGATATGGAAGCTTGATTCCACAGACGGCGCCACTGATCGTACCTGACCAAAATGGATCGTCAAAGCCTACAAGCTATGAGTTGAGCAGCAGATGGAGATGAGATGGATGGGGTACCTGCAAGACACTTCGATTCTAAAGTAAGATTCAGGGAGAGTGCTAGCAAGTATGAGAGTATGTGAGTTAAAGAATCAATACCTGACCATCTCAAGTGAGAGGATATTTATAGCCTCCAACGCTGGGCCAATGTCTTCAATATTGGGCCACGATGAGGTCCAACAATGAAGACTGCCAAAGCTTACATGTGTATGGAGTCCAGCACGTGGACTCCCCCCTGGTCAACTGTTCCTAGAGAACAAGTGCTGGACCCGTGATTCTCAGAGGACACTTATGATGACGATAATGCGGACACGTGGGTCACGTTCCCCAACGGACACGTGGGGAGTTGCTCAACGATCTCCAACTTGAACAACTTGTCTTTAGGCCTTATGCAAAGGTGTTGGATTGAACCTCCCCAACAGTGGGACAAGCGCGGGCCCAGTCCAAAAATTCATAAGTATTATTTAAAAAAAAATTAAAAGTTAAATATTTATAAAAATCTAAATATTATAATTAATTGAAAGTGTATATTAAATTATCAATGCAATGTATTAAATCCTTAAATTTAACTTTAAAACGACTAAAAATGAGTAGATGGAATACTGGTTTATGAATGTTTAATTTACTTCATTAAAAAATTTGCTTAGGAATTTTTTATTTAATATAAAAAAATAGTTTTTTTTTCTTTTTCTTTATTTTTTTTTTCTATTTGATTTTTTCCTTTTCTTGAACGTTTATATAAAAAATACGAGATCTTCCATATGAATAAAAATATTATCCTTTATTCTAAATATTTAATACGGGGTTGGTATTTCACAAATAAATAAGTAATTGTTTACTTACCATCTGCGAAAAATTTTAAAAGACATAAAACAAAAAATAATATTAATAGTTATCATAAAATATATAAAAAAAATCAAAAGGGAAATATGTCTGATTATGTTTCCTATTCAGCTTAAAGAAAAAGCTATTCTTTTTTCTCAAATTCACACTGTCAAATTTGTTTCCGATTTTCTTTTTTTTTTCAAAAGGATTTTTTTACTTTTTACAAAATTTTCAAAATCGAAATAAAAAGGAATAAGAAAAAAAAGGGAAAAAATAAAAATATCCTTAAATTAAATATTTTAGATTCTTCACGCGTAATCAGAGATTCATTCACTGAAGAAGATCCATTTTTTCCAAAGATAGAAAATTTTGATTGTAGTGCTTACGATACTAACCATGCTCCCACACACACCGAATCACAGCCAATAAAAAACACAACCTTAAAAAAACACAATCCGAGCGCGTGACATCACGATCACGAACCACTGCCGTTGTCAGTGGGCCCGACATGTCTCTCAATTTTCTCCGATGCTATATATTTGACAAATCACACGAAATAAAGTATCGGAATATCTAGAGAGAGAAACACCATATTCTTATAGAGAGAGAAACTGCATGCCATTGTGATTGAAGAAAGAAAATTTGATTTTTTCGGATTGGGTTTAGGGCTTTAATCAAAAGGTTCAATTTTTCTTCTTATATACTATAAAACCCATTATTGTTAGAGAAAATCGAAAAAATAATTATTCAAAGTTGAAAAAAAAGTTGAAAGAATTTGACTTTTTTATTACAACCTTGGAGTCTTTGTAAGTCAGCTATGTTGTTACTATTTTTTATCCAAACATAAAAACATCATTGTTTTTTTCGAATAAACTTTATTTTATTAACTATTTTTCTGTCTCTTTCTCTTCTACAGATCCCAGTGAGACAGTGTTACTGTGTTTGGACAAGGATCTGAACATTGTTTTTTAATTAAAATTACAACATTCTTGCAGTGTCCAAGTAAACAGGTATCTTTTTTTCATCGTACCTATGTTGTTTTCGAGTGTTACCATGTTAATCAAAATTGTTCTTTTTGTTTTCTAAGGGTAAACTAAGGGTAAAAGGGTGATGTTATTGTTTTGATTTGTACAATGTATTTGAGAAGAATCATAATTTTCTATGATGTTGTGTTTTAGTATCTGATTTCTGAGGCAGTGGATTTTGTAGGGACCCTTTTGGGTTTTCTTTGAATATTTTTCAATGCCGAAAAATTGTTGATAAAAATAGCAAAAAAAAATATTTGGGTGACGCTTCTATTTTCTTAATATTTGTCACTATTGAATGAGAGAAACATGACACAGAAAAAGTGGTTTTCTTGTCTTGTTCCTATCCTTACATTTGCAACTGAAAAAAAAACTTCAATTTTCTAGAAAAACCATGCATGTAACGTTGACAAGGCAAAAACTGTGTTTTTTATGATATATTATAATGACATTGATACACATTGTCCATGTAATTTTACACGTTACGTGTGATTAAAGTAAAAGTCAAATATTTATAAAAATCAAATAATTATAAATAATGATTTATACTGTCGGTGCATCGGCGCATAATGTCGGCGCATACTGTCGATGCATGTCAATTAAATTATATATGAATATAATATGTAATATTTTTTAAGACTTACGAGTATTTTACTCGATATAGTTTAAAAGGTCAAACCTTGAGTAGAAGAATCCAAAACTAAAAGTGCTTTGGGAAATTGTGAGAGTGACTTGTGAAAATAACCTTAACAAGTAAGCATAGTTTAGAAAAAGGTGCATGAACTTTGTGTTTTTTTATATTTTTATTTGGTATAAATAGAGCTCTAGTGTTTGGGTTTGAGGGTTTGTTTTTAGGCTGAAAGCACTGCATTGCTAGGTTTTCCATTGCTCATCCATATCTTCAAGCTCTAACTTGTCTTTGATCATTGTATGCTTCAAGCCTCTTTGATTTTGATCTTGCTCTTTGTGTAATCTTTCTTTTGTTGTTTTTGATTATTTGTGATGATTCTGAATGTGATCTGTGTTTTGTGCAGGAAAGGAAAATGGAAAGGAATGGTCAGATGGGTTTGATTGGAGAGAATTTTGAGTCTGGTTTGCTAGGGAGGCTGAGGGAAGATGAGTACGAAAGTAGGTCTGGAAGCGACAATTTTGACGGCGGCTCTGGCGATGATCTCGATGCTGGCGATGATCAGCCTAGGAGTAAGAAGAAGAAGTATCATCGACACACTCCGCAACAAATTCAGGAGCTCGAAAAGTATGGTTTTATGATATTACGCAATCTTTTTCATTAATAATGTGATTGATTATCTATGGTTTAATTGCTCATTAGGTCTCTAATTTATATCGAGGTTTATTTCAAGTTTGTAATTGGATCGATCGATCGATGAATTTGTCTGTAATATCTGGCGATGATTTTAATTTTTGTTGGTTTTTGTTCTTGATTGTTTAGTTTCTACAAGGAGTGTCCTCATCCCGATGAGAAGCAAAGATCTGATCTTAGCAAGAAACTCGGCTTGGAGATCAAGCAAGTCAAGTTCTGGTTTCAGAATCGGCGAACTCAGATGAAGGTAAAATTGAACTCATTAGTATTCGTGCACTTGTGTTAGTTTGTTGGTGCAATTGATATTTGTGATGGATCTACTGCTTTTGCATTGGTTTAAATCGTATACGACAATGTAAAGATTTTGTACCTTGTCTGTCATTGTGTCCAACCAATCGTAACTGCAGAACCATTATTGTTTCGACTTAAATTGTATACGACAATCGAAAGGTTTTGAACCTTGTCCGTCATTGTGTCAATCAATCATAACTGCACAACCATTATTTTTTCGACTTAAATCGTATACGACAAAGGAAAGATTTTGTACCTTGTCTGTCATTGTGTCAACCAATCATAACTGCATAACCATTATTGTTTCGATTTAAATCGTATACGACAATGTAAAGATTCTGTACCTTGTCTGTCATTGTGCCAACCAATCATAACCGCACAACCATTATTGTTTCGACTTATCGCATGCGCACGACAATGTAAAGATTTTGTACCTTGTCTGTCATGGTGTCAACCAATCATAACTGCAGAACCAATATTGTTTCGTCTTATCGTATACGACAATAGAAAGATTTTGTAACTTGTCTTTCATTTTGTCAACCAATCATAACTGCAGAACCATTATTGTTTCGTCTTATCGTATACGACAATGGAAAGGTTTTGTACCTTGTCTTTCATTGTGTCAACCAATCATAACTGCAGAACCATTTTTGTTTCGACTTAAATCGTACACGACAATGTAAAGGTTTTATACATTATGGCATTGTCATTGTCAACCAATCATAACCGCATGACCATTATTTTTTAGACTTAAATCATATATACTTTAAACTTCATGTGATTGGTTGCACTGTGTAAACCGTTTTACATTGATAGTGTATCAAAATTAATATCTATGTTATATTACATATTACTTCTATAACTTAATATTTATGAATCTATGTCTCTGGTTGATATATACTGTACTTAACGAGTTGCATTTGTTTTTAATCAGACACAAATGGAGCGCCATGAGAACATGATTCTGAGGCAGGATAATGATAAGCTTCGGGCAGAGAACAGTCTGATGAAAGATGCAATGGCCAATCCGATATGCAGCAACTGCGGTGGCCCAGCAATTCCTGGACAAATTTCAATGGAGGAACACCAGATTCGAATTGAGAATGCTCGACTGAAGGAGGAATTGGCCCGAGTGTGTAACTTGTCCAACAAGTTCCTCGGCCGCCCACTCTCGGCACTGGCCCCCATGTCTATGCACACTCAGAATTCTGGTCTTGAGTTTGGTATGGGAAGGAACGGTGTGGTTGGGCCAAACAATTTCAACATGTCGCTCCCAATGGGTTTTGATATGGGAGACGGGGTTATGGGAACTCCACCCCCATATCCTGGATCTCGAACACCGATGGGCATGATGGGCAGTGATGCTCAGCAGGAGAGATCTATGCTTCATGAACTCGCATTTGCTGCTATGGATGAGCTGATCAAGATGTCTCAGCCGGATTCCGCTCTCTGGATTAAGGGTTCAGATGGCACAAAGGAAGTGCTTAACCATGATGAGTACGCAAGAATTGGTTCTCCCTTTAACGATCCAAAACCAACTGGTTTTGTAACTGAAGCGTCAAGAGAAACCGGACAGTTATTCATCAGCAGTGCGGCCCTTGTGGAAATAATGCATGAAGCGGTATGTCACTCAACTTTCTTAATCTTAGAAGAAGTTTAACTGATTTTATTTGAAAATTTCCTGATCAAGAATTTAAAGTGGTTATGTTTCTTGTGATTGTCTATGATGCTCATGTGGTCCCGATTCTCAAGTTTTATACATTTATTTATTGTTTGTTTCAATACTCAATAGGATCGGTGGTCAGAGATGTTTCCGTGTATGATTGCTCGAGCACAAACCTTGGATGTGATATCCAATGGTATGGATGGAAGCAGAAATGGATCTATACAAGTGGTATGTTTCTCTTCATTTTACTCAATGCTGCTTTTATTTGGATGGAACTAATTAGGATTGATTATGATTTTCAGATGCAAGCTGAGATTCAATTGCCTTCTCCATTAGTCCCTGTGCGACAATACACTTTCCTAAGGTATTGCAAGCAGCATGCTGAAGGTGTGTGGGTTGTTGTTGATGTTTCAATCGACATCAATCGTAATTCTGCCAATGGAAACCCTTTCATGGGTTGCAAGAGACTTCCTTCTGGATGCATTTTGCAGGATATGCCTAATGGTTGTTGCAATGTAAGTGCTTATCTAAATCATTGTAAACATTAATTTTCATATGATTTTAAATATGTTTTAGTTACGTTTGTTATCATATTAAAAAATCAATAATTAGCTAACTATCTTGTAAATTCACGCCTTTGTGTTTCTGAAAATTAAACTGTTGCAGATTACTTGGGTTGATCATTCTCAATATGATGAGAGTGTTGTCCACCAAAACTTCCGACCATTGGTTAATTCTGGCACCGCGTTTGGTGCTCATAGATGGATTGCAACTCTCGAGAGGCAATGTGAATCCCTTGCAATCCTCATGTCTGCTGTACCAACCGAAGACGCCACAGGTATACAACTTTGTTATTGCACTGAATATCTATGAAGCTGTTGTGTCAGTCTCAGTCACTGACACATGATGGATACCATACACGTCTTTATATGAATTGTCTTAACGATTTTTTCACGATAACATTAATTTCAATTTTTGATGGACATGATTTTCATTTCCAGCGATAAGCCCAGCAGGAAAGAAAAGCACGTTGAAGCTTGCGCAGCGGATGTCTGACTACTTCTTGTCTGGAATTTGTCCTTCGTCGGCTTGCAAGTGGGACGTCCTTCATATGGGTAATATGGGAGACCATGACATGAAAATCATGTCTCGGAAACATATGGATGGCCCTGGTGAATGCATTGTGCTAAGTGCTTCAACTTCTGTTTGGATGCCGGTGTCACGTCAGAGGGTGTTTGATTTCCTCATTGAGACACGGATGAGAGGCGAGTGGGATGCTTTGTCCAACAGTGGAACCACGCAGGAGATGGTTCACATCGCTAAAGGTCAAGCACTTGGAAATTCCGTTTCTATCCTCCGTGTTAGTAATGTAAGTTCTCTATTACCATTATGTCTTCATGAACCAACCATTTGAAATGCTTAGTCTTAAACACTTTAGGACTTGCATGGCGAGGCTTATAATACATTCTTACATTTAACTTCTTTTTTTCTAGGCTGATGGTAACGGAAACGAGGCAAACATGCTATACCTACAAGATTCGTGGACTGATAGCACTGGCTCGATGATCGTGTATTCTCCAGTCAGTTTGCAATCCTTGAACATGGTGATGGGTGGCGGGGATTCTTCATTTGTTGCTCTTTTGCCTTCTGGCTTTTCAATTCTACCAGATGGCCACTCCAACAGCAACAATATCGGCGGAGGTTCAAGTGATGGAAGCGGCAACTTCGGCGGAGACAACGACAACAGCGGATGCTTGCTGTCAGTTGGAGTACAGATGTTGCTGAAGAACCTTCAAGCAGGCAAGATGACAAAGGAGACGGTTGATACTGTTAATACGCTCATCGCAGGCACCATTCAGAAGGTCAAAGATGCTCTTGGAGTTGCATGATGAAGACTTGTTTTGATAATAATAATAATAATAAACCCTTTTGGTTATTTTTCTAATATATTTTGGATGTATAGGGGATTTAAGACTTTAGTTGGAAAAGGCTGAGACATAATTAAGAGTCTCGTGCAAGGCGAGAGTCAAGATCGAACCCCGAATTGGTTTGACTTTGTGTTTGGTTGATTGGTTGGTTCGGGTATTGACTTGTTGCATGAGAGATTTGTCTCGGTCTTTTCTTAGATTCAATTTGTGTCCAAAAGAATATTAGTATGTTGTTTTTGTTTTACTTTGCTTTTAGGTAAAGTGAATAAAATTGCGTGACTTTGTTGCTCATATTTGAGTGCATGATCATATTCGAATAATTTGGTTAAGATTTTGAGTTTAAGATTGTCAATCGAGTTTGTTCCGGTTGACAATAATTTCTTGCAATGTTTGTTGGTGCTTCCCTTATAATGAGATTTTGTCAGAAACAAGCCAGGAAAATGGAAGACCTAATTCACGCGTGTATAATTTCGTGTAGCTACAAATGACCGTGTTAAATATTCTTGCACCTATCTTTGATCTAGATGATTGTGATCATTTCTTGCAAATCAATGTCCCTCATATTCTTGTTAAGAATATCCCAAATCTCAATCTCGATTTAGAGGAGTTGATCGACTAGAAGAATGTTGTTTTGAAAGAACTGATGCATTAGAATAAATAATGTTCCAATGATGCACATATTGGTCACTAGAGGTAGAAGTACTTTCTTGACATTGGAGAATTTGGACTTTGTTCACCATTGCTTTAGTTTCTATCAAATTCATGGCTTGTTTCATAGACATTTTTATAGTATTCTCAACGTATCTTGCAAATGCCTTATTGAGAAATCAATGATTTCAAATGTCACACCATTTGAAATATAACCTCATACTCTGAACTTGTTAAAGGTTTGGTTGGCATGTTAATCTATTTGATTGGATTTCATTCGCCTTAAAAAGATGTGTATGATTTCGCCTAACCTTATAATTGTATTGTACTTTATGCAGAAATTATTTATCTTTGATTCATTCGATATTCTTGATAAGAGTATACATATTCTTGATAAGAGTAAACTAAACCTTAATCTCGATCTAGAGGAGTTGATCGACTAGAAGAATGTTGTTTTTGAAGGAAATGATGCATCCTAGAAGAAAAAAAACGTCCCATTGATGCACATGTTGTTCTAATGCTTTAGTTTCTATTAAGCTTTATTTTCTTCTAGACTTTGAAAAACTAGATTTATTGGTAGATCAAACTTTTACTCACTAGAGAATATTGTTGGGAATTTCTTATCCACACTATGAGGTGGAAAAAACTTTATAGAGAATTCAAAAATGTCTTTCGGTTTTTGGAAATACATTTTCGGACGTATCATTTGTATAACACAATAGCACACAAAAATACTATCATCCTATAGCCAAACAAAGTTTTATTCTAGAGATACTTCTCCCTTGTATATTATTCAATGTATTTTTCAGTGTGCATTCTACTGAGCTATCCGTAGATATATGTCTGAATATTTGAAGCGGGAATTTGATAATCTGTCATCTTTGCATGTCAGATTATTTTGGAGATGTATTTTTGGAAAAATCAAACTTGAAATTTCTAAAAAAAAGTCATCTGCATGATCAGACCTCAAACCCAATTTTTTTTCCATAAACCCTTTCCAAAAGCCGTTTCATTCTCAATCAAGATTTTCACTCCAAAACTTCATTCTTGTAAGTAACATTGTATTAATATGTTATGATGTCTAATATATATATTTTGAAGTTTTTCAAAAAAAATTATGTATTAATTACAAGTTTTATTTCTGTCTTGAACATAATTGTGTTCTGTTCTAAGAGGTTCCAAAAATACATTTTCGGATTAAGATAATAGGATGGTACCGGAGATACATTTCTGAAATATCTCCTGGTAAAAGATAGAATTTTTGAGGTCCATAATTACCTACAACTACTATAAATATGGGGAACTTGTCTCATTGTTTGATACCAAAATATATTACACCATAATGAACGTCATTTGACATGTCAAAAATGTTTACTTTAACGGTGTGAAACCCTCACACGTATTTAAGATAAATGAGTACACCCCTCTTGAAGATCTGAAATACACATTGCAAGAGCACATACTATACGATGACAATACAAAAATTGTGAAGATAGAGTATTGTTAGCTATCCGTTGATAAATAAGGGAAGATTGAGTTCAACAACTTTGAGCTGAAGACGGGCGCAAACTTAAGGGCTATGTGGAATTTTTTTCCATTTAGAATCAAAAGTTCTGATCGAGTTGGATGCAACGATTTCGAGATAGGTCGAAGATATTATAAATATTTTGCAACATCCACCTGGATATTGAAATGTAATGTTTGATCTATGTTAAAATCATTTATGTATTGCTGATTTTATGATATTAATGATAATTTCAATTTGTCAACTTGTTGGTTTTTGCTCTTGTTTTGTCAACTTTATGGTTTTCTGCTTTCTGTTACTTCAGTTTGCTCCAGAAATACATCTTATAAAGCTTTACAAATATGTATATTCAAATGAAAACCAGACACAAATTTGGGGTCTGACTCAAAAGCATCCTTGATTATATGTGTTTGGTGCGTCCGGAGATGAAACTCTGGAACTTAGGGGTATTATAGTATTTTCGTGAGGTGTCTAGTAATGTATATAATGCATTAAAAATTCCCATATTGTTACTTCTTATCCTGAATTCCAATGCAATCATACGACTTGGGCTAGAATTACTTTGCTTTGGTCAAATGTACCCACTCTAATTTATAACTGGGGATTGTTCAATGCATCTCATAAGTTACTCACACACCTTGCTAAAATTCTAAAAATAACTCTCAAATTTGAATTCTCAAATTTGAACGCACTTAATACACAACAAGCCATCTATAAAACACACCAAAGAGAAAGTTAAAAAAATTTAGAATCTGGACGCTGTTGTGTATGTAAGTTCACACATTTTCTTCCTTCTTCCCATTTTCATTTCTACAAAAGAGAAAATCCAGAGAACTTGAGAGCTTGTCTTCATTTACGCTCATAAATGTTACATTATTTTTCAAGCATTCTCATAACTTTTATCCATTACATTAAAGCTTATCACGTATCTACTTCACAATATTGCACATATTTGAGGTTTTACTCCATTGCATTGGTAAGTTACTTGTTTTCATTCTTTTTTTTTTAATTTCACATGCATGCATTGCCTAAATTTTTTTATAGGTATGATACTTTAGGTTTAAATGCATTAAATATGTCATTTAAGTTTGTCCTGAACTTCCTTGCATTGATATTTTAAACACCAAAGCTTATGGTTTGTGCAAGCTCAGTATTTTGGTTCGTGTTTCTGGTTTAATGTAGTATGGATTTTGAAATCTGAACTCTTAGCCTGGATATTGGAATCAGTAATTGCTCATTATATGTTTTTGGTTTGGTTTGTTTATGTGATTGCTTATGTATTCTATTATGACATGTCTCTGTGTTTGTTTGATTTTAGGAAAAATGTCACACAACCAGAAAATATGAGACATCTTAGAGTGGCCCAACATGCTTCTGTTTGTGAGAAGAAAGCTAGACCCTCGCAACTTGTAGTTGGAGAGACTTTTTTTGCTAGTGAGAGATCGTCTTCCAAGGTTCATGTGTCCATGGAATATTCTTCCTGGAATCATGTGTCCCTTATTAACCTAGATTCTTTTGACGATTTCATAGGACTCCTCTCACACCTTTCACTGTTTCCTTTGTATCCAGACCATGCTTCTAGGCACGTGTGGGAGAGAGATGTATCATTAATATTTAACTACTCTTCTAAATATATGTGTTATAATATTTGAACAATATAATGATGTATTTAGTTTTTGTACTATCGTGATAAATTAAAATGTATAAGCCACGATAGGAAGGTAGCAAAGTTGACGGAACCTAATGAGCCATTGTTTTAGGATGTCATGTAGCTCCATGGGTTGTAAGATTTATGCAGGACTTGATATGGTTAAATTAACCATGGCTTATTGCCTGTCTTTATTAAGAGATGGCACGCAAAGATGTTGTCATGTCATGATAGGTTTTCATTCTTAGTGGATCTGTATGAACACCACCTAACTGCACATATGGATGTAAATGGTGTTGATGTAAGGATTGCATACCACAAAGCATATGCATTAAAGTTTTACCTCTTGGTTTTGTTTATTACTTCCATTATTATGTACAAAAGTTTGATCTACGTCGGCATTATCTACCTCATATATTTCATTTAATTGGAGAAGATTCACGTGTACATGGGGAGTTTCTTGTTCGTTGTACCTCTACCCAAACTAGATCAAGGTAATTGATAGAAAACTTTACAGTTGATAGGAAAAAAATATCTATTTACAGTATTTTTTGTACCTATACTAATATTAACGTCATAAAACTTATGTTACACTATTTCTAATAGTTCATCTTAATTATTTTCAAGCATGGATCCGCCTGTATTTTTCACGTCCCTCCGGTTGGGCATGAGTGCAAGACTATTATAAGGATTTTCCACATGCGTGCTCAATCATCCTTCTTAGAGGAAATCATGTGATTGAGTTGTTTTGAGTTGCTCTTGACCGCATCGAGTAGGATGTCATATGTCGATTATAATAAGAATCGACCTTTGGAGCTTATAACCTTGTACTTTGGATATTAGACCTATGGGTCTCGATTTAAGTACCCTCACCCCCCTGAGCAAGTTCTGCGGAATTTTGGGTATATATATGGTATAAACAAAGACCCACTATTAATGCCCTTACTGTTATCCTCCGCAAGGAATTTAATGAGATATTTGTAGTGTACATCATTTTCCAGTTTCTCTTCAACATAGTACATTATACGACTACATACAATAATTTTATAGAGAGTCACATTCTTACATGACAACAGATGAAAAAAGAAATCCCCAAGATCATATCATCAGTAGATCTTAGAGGAGAAGAAAACATGGACA